ATCTATTCCATACTGATATTTTAGTTTATGGTGGACTCATCACTAGTTTCTTCTTTCTCTTAAGTGGCGAGCTCTTTGTGTGTACATTCCCATGTCTTCTGCTTTTAAAGGGGGATCCAACTCTGCCTGTTATCATTTTATATTGGATTATGAAGAATGCAACAGAAGGACTGAGAACACCCAATTGTGGCTGGAAACACACAACATTCCAATGCGGGCAGGAACAGACTTCTAAGATCTCGGTACTGGAGTTCTTGACACAGCACATGGACTCCACCTATAAGTAAAATATCTCTTCTGGGTGGGCTAAACCCTTAGGGCTTGTTCGCACGATCTCCGGATTCTGTCCAGACCAGAACAGTTAGGTCCTGCACTAAAAACTCATCACAATGTATCCCTATGTGTTTTCTGGGCTCCAGTTCACACCAGCGCAGAGCTTTCCGTTCCGGACCAGGAAAAATGTGACATGCAGTATTTTTTCTGTCCGGAACTAGCAGAAACGCGTAAGAATGTGTCAAAAATGCGCCGGAAACGCACTGCAGCTAACTGGAAAAAAAGTGTATTCTTGCTCCACATACACAAAGGGAAGTACTCGTAAGGAGAGGCCAGAAGTGACCTCAGAGCAAGAATCTGCATACTAACAGCCCCCCCAAAACAAAAACTGGATGCTGTGTGTGCTAGGAAATGTTTTGCTGTTTTACTGTTTGAAGCCCTTACTTGTGCACCTTGCTATAAAGCTGGTAACGCATTGATGAGTGCGTTTACCATTTTTTTTGCTTGACTTATTTGGTGCAGTGACGCATGGGGGGGTCTCAGCTGCCGTTGTGATGTGCAGGGTCCCTTGTGCGTACCTGTGCTTTTAAGGGGGGTTGGGCTTCCTCCTGACAGACCTGCACCCAATTTAATCTTCTGCCCCATGTGCTCCAAGATGGAGACTCTCATAGTTTAGAGTTAGGACCGCACTATATGGAGGGGCCTTGACGTGGCTGTGCGGCTTTCACATTTTCTGCAGAAGACGTGTATCTAAACCTCCTGCTTTTAACCTTAGCGGTGAGACAAGTTTTTTTGCATGCTGACTGGTGAGTGTGCCTGGAAACTTTTTGCTGTTTTACAGGACGCAGTAAAAACGCATAAAAAACGCGCTGCACGCATTGCACCACGTCTGCAGATCTGCTCCAGATCTGGACCAGAAAATGGTGTGAACAAGCCCTTAATACTCTACAGTGCATTTTCTAAGGAAAGCTAGTGTGAATGCCAACATGGCCACAGACCTTACCAACCCTCTGATGAATCTGCAGGAAATGTATAGGTTGGAGTGGGATCGAATTTTGATTGTATGCAATCTTTGGTGCTAAAATCCAATAAATCCTTAAAGTGAAACTCCTGCCAATTTTCATTTGTGGATAGAGTGTGAGGCTCTTTGGGAGATTTCCTTCTCATCTTTAAACTCAGTTACAACATTGTAACTGGAAAACAAAGTGAGGAGGAAGTGAGATCACCTTTATTAGTAGTGTGGGAGAAGGTTATGCCCTTCATCAGGTTTCTATTTCTGCCTGTGTCCCCTGTTGGAGATCAGCCGTCACAATGATCACCGGGACAGGAGAGCTCATCAACAAGGACACTAAAAGCAATAAAAACTGACATAGGAACTATCTTTTAACTGATTTCTCCAAAGCAAATAAAGCTTTGACAAGAGTTAGGCTGGCCATGCACATACGGATTTTCTCTTGTCAGAGACTGATCTTTCATCACTAGCAATTTGTTCAAAGTTTAGAACCGTCCCACCTGTAGTGGTCGGACATTGCTGGAAATATTTCTCTGATTCTATATCTAATGGCCGTAGAGCACATTCCCATGATGATCTTTACCCTTTCCTCCCATTGTACGCTCTTAGGATACACTAGATGTTCATACTGAGGTTGCATTGATTTCTACTGTCCTATGACATTGGTACATAATGTGACAATTCTTTCTGTATCCTGAATTTTCTGTTCAACTTTAATAAAAACATTGATGTAAAACCGGTCCACAACAATTGCTAGAAACACTCTGCCCTGCGTCATGGCTTACAGAAATTTTCTAGCACACTCAGGCCTCTTCATACATCAGCGCTTTATGCATGCATGCATTTTTTCCAGGGAGGAGTGTATTATACATGCAGGTCCACACAATAAAACACAGCTACAAAGCATATGTAGTATGTATTCCATGTGTTTGCATGTGGTAGCATTCATCCCTGCATATTTTCTTTAAAATGCAGTAAAACCTCAAGCAAGCACTATGCCATTGAAAATGATGGTACTATACCTTCCATGTGCTTTAAGTGTAGCTGAAGTACAGAGGTGGGAAAAGGGTCTCGGTGGAGGGGGTTTTTATTTCTGTCTTTCTTCACTGGAGAAATTCCCCTCTCTCTGTTCTAGTGACCATTGTACAGAATGTATTGAAGGGCAATTTACCCCACAGGTAACAGACAGCCAAACCCCCTCCCCCTCCCCCACGCCAGGAAAAAAAACCTGACAGGACTCTTAACTATTCTCTATCTTAGGGGTTTGCAACCTTGGCACTCCAGCTGTGGTGAAACTACAAATCCCATGATGCCTCTGGGAGTCATGCCTATGGGCATCAGAGTCTTGCAATGCCTCATGGGATTTATAGTTTTACCGCAGTTGGAGTGCTGAGGTTGCCTACCGCTACTCTACCATTATTATCCAAAGCAAAAAAAAAGTTTGGGCTTTTCATAAACTTTGCATAAAAAAGATTATTATTTTATTTTTTGGATCCAAGTAAAACACCGTTCTATTTCATCAGTTAAAGGCATGACATCTTTGTGTGCTGCTTAACAGCTGCAGAAAAGATTGGCAGAACTTGGATCATTAATAGAGAAAACAATCAATCAACCTGACCCATGTATGGCCAGCTTAAAGGGACACAACTGTTTAACTGCAATTAGAAAGCAATCTATATCTTGCCCCCTGAATAAGGCATCCCTTTCCAATTGCCTATATGTTATGAGAGAGTCTTGATCCTCAGTGCTCATATGCCAGAAGATACAGCTGCTCTATCCAATATGTCTAAATGAAAGACTTCTGAATAGAAAAGCCTAAGCTTTTCACATCTGAACTGTGTATGAGACATCAGTTGTCTTTGTATAATGAATTCATACACAAATCCCAGCTGTTTAATACCTGACTGGATTTAGATCAGCTATGGGAGTCATTTCTGGGGTGCTTATTGGTTGATTAGACCCAAAAGCACCTAATCTGCTACAATAATTAGTGCCTATAGGGGTACATTTACAAAGGCTGTTTCCAACCAATGTTTGCAAACTGGATCAGTGGAAGGCATATAGCACTTTCCTTGGAGATGGACAATCTGCAGCATAGAAAAATATTCTGTAACAAATCTATAAAATACAGATTATATCTGAAAAATATAAAAAGTGCATTATTTTGTCTTGTTCTCAGGTCACAGCACAAACACAGTGATGCCCCGTGGGGTCTGATTATGGAGGTTCAGCTTTACAAAGGAGACCTCTGGCTGATGACAACTAACATGATACACTCTGAGGCCCGGGCTGACCACAAGTGACAGGGCACTTTGCAGAGCTAGACTTAGTACTATAAAGTACCCTTCATGTCCCTACATTCTAACAGTCAGTATGCTTACCAGTGATAGACGTTTCTCCAAATATCAACCCTTTAGGTCACACATTTTAAAAAAGTGTGTGGCATAAGGAAATGATAGGCGGATACTAATACACACACAACATACATGTGTCAGCCTCTAGCACAGCTCACATTAATCTGCCCAGCTAAAAGCATTTCTTTCAATTTTCACCAACATATTACTTTAGATACAACAGAGCTATACACTGCACAATTATTCACAATGTTCAACACATATTTATACATTAACCTACACACATTTCCAAGTGAATACTGCTCTGCATAGATATAGTTACTCTTTATAGATACAAAGCTTTGAGCAAATGTATACTGCACTCTACTGATACGCATACGCAGATGCCATTGTACATACAGTATGTCTGAAAAGCTTTAAGTTAAAAGACATCAATTAAAAAGTTTTAAAGCGCTTAAAAATGATTTGCGTTGCAAATTCTGTACAACTCTATTTTGAATGACGTACGACTGCTGGACGTGCAGGTGGCGGATGTAGGTCATCCGTATAATGGTTTAGCTCACTAGATAACTAGCGATAAAAGCCGGCAAAGCCAGATTTCTCTATCAATATCCTCCCTTTGAGAACTAGAGCTCCAAATTCATGTTCGGTACTGTAAAAATCGTTTTTACATTAACACAATCGTCTTCTCCCTAGAAATTCGGCAAATATGCTGCTGCCAAATAGACTCTTAAGATTTCCTTGGACACAGCTTTATCACATGTAAGAGGAGCTTATTTCTAAAGCCAAAACAAATACCCAGTGATGCATTTTTTGCTGATTTGAACCCATCAGCACTTTGATTTATAAAAGCTAAAATGACAGTTTAGTTTCGCTTTTTCATTCTTTACCATCGTATGAAATCCAAAATGTTGTTTTCATTGATTCTGTGGATTTTGCAGCATTTATAAAGTGGTGAAATTGGAAACTGGCAAAAAGAAACAGAAATCATAGAGAATAAGCACACCGCTCTAAAGTGGTGTATTTGAGTATTTTAATGCATGCCTATCCCTTTGTAAGCTATGAATGGTTTTCTTCTACTATGCCAGTGTTGATCTATCTTGCTGTATTTGTCCAATTCAGTTTGCTGCTTTGGAGTTGTTTTTTTTGCTGGCCTTTTTTTATAAATACCTGAAGTACAGTGAATTAAGAAGCCGGAAAGCTTCCTAAATTTGCAATTTCTTCATAAACAGGCCCCCCGGGGATACCACTGTAGAAGGCATGCTGTTTACTGAAGAGGCATGCTATTGGCAGTAAGTATAGAAAGGAGGTAAGGAATTACATTTTAGCTAAGAGTTAATATTCCAGTCCATTTAACATCCTATATATTTACAATGTAATAAGAAAGTCTAAATTGAACATACACGCCACTGCAGCAAATTGTAACATTGGCGCTGCCACATATGCTGGTGTAGACAGCCCCAATAAAGCTGGGGATCAAGGTAAAACCTTATTCTGCTCTTCCCTAAAGGTGCACATTAAAGCTGGGAGGGAAGACTGACAATTCACTGATACTGAATAATGGTTAGTGTCTAATATGACTTTTTTATGTATATTTCAATACATATAGTGGACTGCATAAGCTGCTTCCTAGAAGAACCCATGCCTGTGTATGATCACTGTATCACTCACACATACACAAACCCATAACTACTTCAAATACATTTTGTTGAGCATTCATTTTAGAAGTGACAATCCATTTGGAGAAAGGCACCCTTCCCTTGGTCCTCCATGTGCAGAAAATAGCATGGCCTGTAGTGTAAGTAAATCGAGCGAAAACCTTAAGAATTTGCTGGTCTGTGATTCTGGGGAGGTGCTCTAGATTTAGGAGAGCGGGCTGTGGTTGTGGCTGTTGTTGATGATGAAGAGGAAGAAGAAGAGGATGACCCACTGCGTGTGTCACCTCCAGTGCTGCACTGCTTCAGCTTCCGTCTTTTAGCCAGTGGGGCATTTTCCACGCTCTTTAAAAATACCCCTTCACGTTTTCCAAGTTTAAATGCCTGCAAGCATGAAATTAAATCCATAAGTGTCCCAAACATTTGACCTCTACACAAAGAAAATTTTAAAAGACTATTTTACAGAGGTGTGGCACAGAACAACGCACAGCCATAGTACCCATAGTAATCAGATTTTGCATTGGTTTCTGCACTTTATTGTTTTATTATAAAAGCTGATTGCTTTATATCTTTCATGACTAGATGTCATTGAAACCTAAATCCCCAGGCTAAATTAGCAGCATCAGTATGCATCAGTTAACTTGACAATAACTCTATACTAATTTGCCTATATAAATTTGCTTGTTTAGCCCTCATTCACACCTAACAAGTAGGTGTAATTAGGAATTGCTGCAGCAGAAAATTGCGATTTCTTGCAGCAGTAATCCCTGATCTGCCATTTACAAGCAACAGCTCAGCTGTCACCCGTTCAAGTTAATGATCGAGTGACAGCGGCTTCATTTGAAAGCAGCAGAGTGCTGGCACACTGCATGTAATCGTATGTGATACCATTACAAGCGGTTAGGAATCAATCACTATCCCTGGACGCATGATCAATTACATGCGGCGTGTCAGTGTTCTGCCCCTTTTAAATGCAGCAGCTGTCACCCAATCATTAACTTGAATGGGTGACAGCTGCAACTTTGGAATTCCTGCTGCAGAAAATCGCAAGTTCCTGCTGCAGGAATTCCTAATCAAATCTGTGAATGAGAGCTTACTGTAAATATTTCACCTTAAAGCGTACCTTTCCCCCCCAAAACAGTAAAAGCAGAGATGCATGCAACTCTGCATGCTCAGTAATAAAACACTGTGTACTCTTTTGTCAAAATCCCATTTAATTTAGGGAGCTCTCATAGCTAAACTACAAAAGATTTCAAGATCTTGAGAATAAGTTTGTACATTCAGTTTGTGATTGTTTATACATTGTCATGGCTTCAGCAACAAGAGGGTCGGGGGGGGCGTAATGACTCTGACAACCATGACAACAGTTAAGCAAAAATAAACCGCGCCAGACTTCATAAAGCACTTGTACGAGATCTGGCATGTTTTTCAGCATGGGGTTGATGGAACAACAGAGTTTTAAAAAAATTGGACATAAATGGGGCAAATAACCATTCGAAACTCTATGCTTTCCTAGACAAAGTGTGTGTATTTGTGTGTGTGTTTCTTGAGCCTGTCAACTGCTTATGGGTATGTGCCTCTTTCTGTGCAAATGACAATGACAGATGACCTGGCAAATGTATTCTGTAAACAAACCGATGTGATTACTATGATTGGCTGTCATAGTGATCACATGATTAGGAAGCATTCTGATTGTTATTGTGAGACCAGTGCTTTCACCGACGGTGTTTTCTTAGAACGAGGTGCCCATACAGAAGTTATGTTTGAAAAAAACAACTATTTTCACATACATAGATAGCCACATGACACAGACTATACACTGATTGGCCAGATTATTATCACCATCCCATCAGTACTTCGTTGGGCCACCAGATGACTCCACGAGATGACTTCGTTGGGCCGCCTCGTGACTCCACGAGATGTTGAAAGGTGATGCAAGGAATCTGACACTGCACTGTTGCCCTTCTGTTGTCTTGTACCAGTCTTGCCACTCTCCGTTCTGCCCTAACATTGACTAGTCGCTGGCGGCCACAATTCGCACGTTCAGACCCAGATTTTCGACTGACAGTCCAGTCTTTAAACACTTTAACAACAGCTGCTCTTGAACATTTAACGAATTCTGCTGTTTTGCGGATACTCGCTTCATGGCTCTGAGCGCCAACAATCATCCCACGTTCAAAGGCTGTTAAATCGCGTTGTTTACCCATATCTTCTACTGTCATGGTAAACAACCTGCTTCCCTATTTATAATGGTCTGGCCCTCTAGCAACTTAAGGGTGAAATTATAGCTAATTATAGCTAATTTGCCTACAAACGTCAGGTGGTCATAATAATCTGGCCACTCAGTGTATAGTGTAATGTTTATTTATGCCTACTATTCATGGACAAGTTCTTGCCTTTTTATTCACTGTTTAGCAAATGTTACTGTCATGACTTTTTTTATCCATCAAGTCATTGACACCAAGCACAGGGGCAGCCAATCACAGAAAAAGCACTCCTGGGAGAGTCCTTTATTTGATGTCTAAGGAGAGTGGATCTGTGCTTGAAAATTAAAAAAATATTTAGATGTACTAACCATGATGGTGGCATTAACGCATGTCTTGGTGGCCATTCCACTGGATTCCAGGACATCAGGTGTCATGAGGGGTGTTGAGGACAGTGGACGACCACCGCACAGCCACTCACTTTCCCTGAGTTCACTAAGATTCAGCCGGAAAGAGGGATCTACAGTAAGCAACCCTGAAAAGGAAAGTAGTAAGTCAAGCAAGTTTGTTGTTATATAGCATCCCCTGTTGAAGGACCAGTTTGAATAGTTGGCACCAAGGTTACTTTGAGGGAACAGCTCAGAACTGTTTCCCCTAACAATAAACCTTGTTAAACTTTTAAGTTTCTCAACATGTGAAACTATTGAATCATACCCCAGTGGAAATGTGACTGTGCATCTAATTCTCCATTTGTAATGCAATGAAAAGGCATAATCAATTTAACAGTTACCTCCAGTGCTCTACAGATGAGATTTATCAGCTCAATAATCATTCTAATCATCCCCACCCTCTTATTGTAAGGATGACTTTCTGTCAGCACAAAGTGGGCATTGCACTGCAGTGTTTGTTAAGCCTAATGAATGGTGGGTGTTGTTGGTTTTACAGCATATGTTATGAAAGTATCACAGGGTTTATAGGTAGGGAAACAATTTTCAAGATGAAAATACTGCTGGCTCCACTTGCTATATGTGGTGGACATGCCTATTAGTTCAGGCTAGGAAAGCAAAGTGCAATACATATCGCTACCAAGGGGAGAATATTTACATTTGTATGTGTAATGGGTTTTGAATTGGAAAAAAAAGGAGCAAGCATATAAAAAGTAACAGTTAACATGTATTTAAAACTTTAATCTCCTCCTTTTCAGAAGCACATATTCAATTTTTCTTCTTCACTCTGTTCAGGTGCTGGGAATGAATAAAATTACCAGTAGTTCTAGGTATGAAGGAGTATGGTGGTTCATGATTGGGAGAATCCTGTGAAAGCTCTGACTGGAGTGACTTGGACCTTTTCCCTGGTGGCTGAAATTAGTTGAGGGTAAAGTAAGTATCTGCTGCTAAGGAGGGGGGCATTGAATTATAGCAATTGCTTTGCCCAAGGGTTTAATTAAAGGTATACATTATATGGTTGAATTGTAAAATGTAAAAGCACATATTCACAAAAAAAATAATTCAAAGTAAGTGTTTACTGGAATGAAATTATAGTTCAAGCTTAGGAAAGCACCCCATACCTTTAACAAGCTCCTTGGCTTCATCGCTCACATGTTCCCAGCTTTCACCCTGCATTACAAAGTCTCCCTCCTTGATCTTGTTAATGATATCAGCAGCACGGCTTTGAGGAGAGCAACTCCTTGCACCTTGGAAGGGAACCTGCCCACACAGCATTGTATACTGCAGAATGGAGAAAGTGAGAATGAGGCATAACATGGTTATTGCATTGTGCTTTTGTAATTTAGGCTTAAGGAAGGCTTAAAGGAAACTTGTAGTGAGAGAAATCTGAACACTGACTTGGTTCCTATTTTTTATTTGGCTTGCTAATTTGGCATCATACTGATCCAAATGGTTTTAACAGTTTCTGACTTGCATACAAACAACATGTAGGCAGATCAGAACTTTTGACTTTGTTTGCTGCATGCTTTTTCCAGATTAGTAATGAAAAGTACAAAAAGTCTGGATATTTATATCATGCATCCAAAGCATGAGTCCGGCTAACCTTCCTTAGTTCAAGCACACTTAATGCATATAACAGTAAAATGGGTTGTAATTTGCTACCAAACTGACCCCAATTCCTATGGAGCAGTTTATCAACATATCAATTATCCTTATATATAATACTGAGTAAAAAATAAATAAATCGCTGTATGAACAAAAAAGAGCCTTCTGAATCCTCATAACATCCCTTGCACCCCTTTACCCATACAATTTTCTTGCTGAATTTGGCCACATATGTACAAAAGTGGGAAACAAAGCAAGTAAAAAGTTATCACAATTAGAAAATAATGAGTCTTAGTGCTGCCCTTGTTCAAACTGTTGCCCTAAGCACTGGCCCATGAGTGTCCTTGCCTCAAGTAGTATACATACTGTATCTCACTGGGGAGAGTTTGAAGTATGTAAAAACATAGAACAACAAGATAGGCAATCAATTCCATTCACAAAGTGGATTGTTCCACTGACCCATTTAGGTTGGCTATAAAAGGCGTAGCCTGGGCTGAATACAAATGCCTGGTTAAATTATTACATGGGTCCTCTAGAGCAGTGCTTCTTAAAGTGTGGGTCGCGACCCCATATGGGGTCCCGCAAGTGAACAGGGGGGGGGCGATCCCAGTCCCCGGCCAGGACTGCCATCAGGG